AGACATCGCTGAGGCGACACGACGTCGCCTTTTTCGGCGACGTCGCTATATATATATATATATATTAAATAAACGTCGCCTCGGCGACGTCGCCCCGTGTGGGGAAGGAAAAGGCGACGTCACCGAGGCGATGCGACGTCGGCCAATAAAAAAAAAATATATATATATACATATATCACTCGGTATACCGCTCGGTATACCGTTCCGTACCGTACCGAGAGATCGTCGAAACTCCGGTACGGTACGAAATTTCAAACCTTGGTTCAGGGTAAGGAGATATTCACTAATGAGCTTTCAATGTAGGGGCAGAAATATAAATGGTTTTCCTGATATTAGCCTTCAGGTTACCCACACAATGTCTATTGAGAGGGTAAAGTTTGTGATTTTAAGTTTACATAATATGTGCTGAAAGGAGACCGTAAGGTTATCCTCTGACCTAGTGGTGTACTGGACTTCATTGATAACAACTCGATATTAGGGTACTTGAACTGGTAGATTGGAATTGGAAAAACAGGGAATGACTCCTCTACTGGGTATGATGACCAAAGGAGAATGATGGGAAGATTTTCTAGGAAGATGTCGAACTAAAGAATAATTGTAAATAGATAGTCACGGTTTATTCTCTAAAGCTTTGCATAATCTTATTTGATAATTGCCACTTTGTAGCATTTAAAGTATTAAACAAGAATTTAATTTACAGTTTTGAGTGTATGGATTTAGTGTAGGAATTCTGCCTACAACATGCCATGGTCCAGTTGAGGCTTATGAAATTGTATCTCCATTACCATTTCTGATTCCTCTGTCATTTCTTTAGTTGGGTGAATTTATGGGGGATTATTTGTCAGTTCATTTGTTCAGTTTTCTGATGATGCAGATGGTTGTTCCATCTTTTACTTAAACATCTTATTATGATCAAGTCTCTGGATGTCATTTTGTTTACTGTGCTTTGTGTTTTTTTTTTTGCTTATTGTTGAATACATTTTCTTCATATGATAGCATATATGAACTTTGATGAATTATTACTGGACAGATATTCCTTATCATCAAATATTCTAAGGCTTATGCTTATGCTTTGCAATATAAAAGTAGATTTTATAATTATTGGAATATTAGCAAGATGATGAGAGAACTGTGTAATCAAGGCTGGATTATCTGGTTAGCAACTGTTAACTAATGCATTTTGTATGTTTGCTTCTTGGGCTGGCATGTTCTTCGTTAATCTACTCATACAAATAATGAAATAATTTCACACCTGGATAGTGGTCTGCAATCTTCATGCTTCAATAGGAATCACATTTGCTAGGCACAAATATCAGCTGGAACAGGCTTAGAGTTTCCTAGACGAACTATTATTTTTGTTTATGATGACTTACATTTGTTAAAATTGGATTTCCTGTATGTATCTTGTTCATATTAAAGTTAAACCTTCATTTATTACAATCTTGACATTTATGATCTTGTTTTATTTTCTGTTCGATTGTTTCTGGTAGCTAATCTTTAGTAAATGCTACTTATCAGGGTATGAGGATGCTGCATTGAAGACTCAGTCTAGTCTTGCTTTTTTAAACTTTGGCCAAAATCTCATATTTAGCACAGCTTTATCAACGGCGATGATCTTATCTTCATATGGGATTATGAGTGGTGCAATGACTGTTGGTGATCTGGTGATTATTCTTATAGTTCTTTGACTTAAAAAATACAATATATATCAACTGTGTTATAGTTATTTTGACAATAAATTATTTAGAGATGCCACCATTGAAAAATGTGAACAGTGATCAACTTCCTTCTGAACTGAAAAACCTACTCTTGTGGGTAAAGGACAAGAACACCCACCCACGTTACAATGCAACCACCACCACCACTACCTCTCTATTTTTTGTTCTCTCTTCTCTCTTTCTCTCTCTCTCTCTCTCTCTCTCTCTCTCTCTTCTGTTACTAAAATTAGGAAGGCAAGGTAATTCTAAAAATAGTTTGAGACATTAAAGTTCCAAACATACAAGGAAATCTGTTTGTTGTCTTGTAAGAATTATATATCTTTCAGTTTCATTTCTACTTATAGCACCTATTATGATGATTAAAAATTAGTGCTAAAATTGAATCATGATTGGATACATTCCTCTATTTATTACAGTTGCTAAAAATAGGTGAAAAAATGTTATGTAATCCCTCCTGCTTTCCTAGAAATAATGCCTTTCTCTTGGAAATTAAGCATTCACTCTATAAAATTTGAATTGACCATTTTCTTCATATTTCAGGTTATGGTTAATGGGCTTCTCTTTCAGCTTTCTTTACCTCTAAATTTTCTTGGAAGTGTTTATCGAGAGACAAGACAGAGTCTTATTGATATGAAGTCAATGTTTCATTTGCTTGAGGTGCATTTTGTGCTTATCCTTTTGAAGTGCTTTTCTGTTGTTGAAGTTGAGCTGCTAGGACTATTTTTTGAAATGCATAAACTCTAAAACTAATAGTGCTATTCCATTATTGTTGGCCATACAAGTTCCATTACTTTTTCCATTGATTACAATTCTAAGGCTGATTGCTATATTTATATCTGGTACTTCTTTGGTATCAATTATTGGATTATTTCTAAATTCATGAATTTGTAAAACTAGTTATGGATATGATTGTTTCTGAGGATTTTGTAATTTTAAAAATTATATAATCACAACAAAAAGATCTACTTGATTGGGAGGGAACTAAGATTTATTTTATTGTTGCATATGACATGACGTTTTTAAAGTCAGTTAGTTTAGCACTTATTTTGGTTCTATGGTGTTGTTTTTTGTGGCAAAATACATCATTATCAGGACCATCTGCATGTCTGACATCTAGTGTTTTTCTCAACAACCATTTGCACTACAACTATTTCTTTTTGCGGTTCTTGTGCTGCCCACTTCTTATTACATAAAAATGTGTAAAGAAAGAATTTCTTCTCTCACTTAATATTTTGGAGGAATGTGCCGTTTGTCATGCAAATTACATTCTTCTTATTGACCTTTTTTTCACTAATGGCTTCTGCAGGAGGAGCCTGATATTCAAGATGCATCCAATGCCAAACCTTTACATTTTAAAGGAGGAACCATTGAATTCAATAATATTAATTTTGGGTAAAAAAATTTTCTTCCATTTATTTACGTTCTTAAATAAGATTCTAAATTCTTTACTGACTTTTATCTATATGGGCTTAAAAATGTGTTTATTTTCTTTACTTGCTATTAATATTTCAAGCACGACAAAGTGTCATATTTTTCTAATAACAGTCTGAATGATTTCTTGCCACTTCTACAAAATGCATCTTCTGTTTTGAAGTGTTAGATTTTACAGTCTTCTAGTTGTTAGACTACCTAGACACTGTATAAGACAGTATGTGCTTCAACAATTTGTACTCCCCTTCGTTATTTCTGATGATCTGATCTTAAATGCTTTTCATTGTGGTTTGATCTTCATGGTGTGATCTTCTTCAGTTAATCTTGTAGGTTTGTACATTCTCTTTTATAAAGTGTATTAACTTCTTATAATTAGGATGCTTATTGGTCTTTGTCAAGGTCTGTGCTAGATGTATCACTTTCCAGCTTGAATGTCATGTAATAATTATTTAGTTACTCCAAAGTCTGGCAGTAATAATATACCAGACTGATTTTTCCATGTGCACTGACATTGATAAGAAGTAAAAGTTAAACCTTAGATTATGGTCATTGATGAACTTAGGAGTCTAATTTCATTTCAGTCGGGTAATTATGTGTCAGATTGATGTCCACCATAATGGTCTCTATAGTGAATACCATTAATTGTTAACTTATGACAAATTCTCACATTCACAAATTCTTGTTTCATAGAACTTTTTAGTTCATATAACATTCCAAAGATCCTCCCTGGGTTTTCAAAGTGGTAATATTTTTCTGTGGTTCTAAACTCTCTCTATTTGAATCAATATTCCAGTCACACTTGCAGAATCATCTGTGCTCAAATTAATTTGAATTAATGCATACCTATATTGCACATATGTCACACAACTTCACCATATTTTTGGTTGATTTATAGTCTGCATTTCTTTCTGCAACATGGATATGCAGATTCATTGAGCTTTCAATCAACATTTAGGAAAACAAAAAACAGGTGGAAGAATTTAGTCTAATTTTGCAAATATGAAACATGTTTTTATTAATTGTAGGTTTGTCTTCTTTACATTTTCTCTCCTTCCCTTTTCTTTTTTATTCTTCTTCTCTATTGGTGGGTTGTTACTGATCAGTTGCCAGGACTAAGTAAATGGTGCTAACTATGTGAACTAGTCCAATTTTGCAAATAGTAAATATGTTTTCTTCATTGTAGGGGTCGCTTGTTTTTCTTCTGTCCCATTCCTTATTGTTTTTCTTCTCTATTGGTCAGTTGTCACTAACCAGCTGTCACACTTGATAAATGGTGCTAATTATTCAGGCCGGTCTCGGACAGGAGGGACAAGTAATTGAAGTTGAAGTTACTTTTCTGTATTGTTGTGTGGCTGCTTGGTGTCTTGGTGGGTCTTGTTCTGACACTGTGTGTTCTACACCTACAATCATCCAAAACATTACACCTTTTTGTGACCTGTAATTGGAGGGCTAATGCTTCTCCAACCCTCTCAGTAGTTCTTGAGATTTTTCATCTTATATATTACCATATGTTCACATAGAGATGTTTTAGTTCTCTCTTCCACGGCAGAGGAATTTTTTTTTAATCTGACCAATTATTAGCTGGCTGCTGATAGCCTGATACTACTGTTCTGTAGTGTGAACTAGACGTGTTTGGACTATTATCTCTTCCATCCCAGCCAATTTTATTATTAATTACCATGAACTTACGGTGTTGTCCTAGCATAAAATCTGGCTGAAGTTGCCTTCTATCAGGTTGACTTGCAAGTTCAGTCATCCTGCTGCTTCCATACACGCCTGGGCACTGTCTTCCATGCTTCCAGTAATAGGCCATATTTGCTGCTAGTTTCACTTTGGGTTGTCTGAACAAGAGTCAATTAAGGTGGGATATAAGGAGAAGAGTTAGATCAAAGAGAAATTGGTTACAGCTAGTGAGAAATGGCATATCTGATTATAAATTCATCATGGACATGGTCTTGAAGGCTTCATGTAGCAACCACTTGCTGTTAATTGATGATGATGTTGCTTTGGTCCTGTATTAAGTATAACTAGAGTGTCTCGGACGAGATTATTTCTTCCTGCATCGACACCAGCTATTAATTTTGTCATCATTCACAACTTTTCATTTTCAGATTTTCTCCTTTTTCATCTTCTACCTTGTACTCTTGTTCCAACAATAATCGTGAGTGGTGCTTATTTGTATGTAGTAAATTAGCCTATAGGAGGAGGCAAATTCAGCTTCTTCTGTTCAGCTTAATTTTGTCTAATATATCTTTCTTGAAAATTATCATTTAATATTCCTGCATTTAAAGTCACATGAGATATATGAAGATCTTTTAATTAGGAAAATAGGAACAGTGAAGTTATCGTATTCTTGGCAAAATCAAGCGATGATTTTATTGCATATTAAAATCCATACTCGTGTCTGTTTCGGAAGGTTTATGTTTCATCACCACTAATGAAAGTGCTATTGGTACTTCATGGACATTTTTGTTTCCTTTTTTATTGCAGATATCTGGCAGAACGAAAGATTCTTGATGGAATATCATTTACTGTACCGGCAGGAAAAAGCATGGCAATTGTTGGAACCAGTGGAAGTGGTAAGCTTCATTTATTTGCTTGAATACCATGTTTGATTCTGTGTTTAGTTCTTTGTGTTTAAGTTTACTTAAGTAGAAAAAAATATCATTATTTGTATATCATAGCATTTTCTCTTTAGTTGGTCAGGAAGGAACAAAATTCTGGGAGACACCCAAAGTTGGCTGCCAAAATAGTTACACAAGAATTAGTCCAAGTAATTGACTTTCAGCCATGTTAAACCTTATCCTTCTACTGAATTTGTGATCAATGAAATAAGACCATATGCCTATTTGCTTCTCAGTGACCTCTAAGAGGTTTCAATGGAACCCTGTCTTTCAGTTTCAGCACTTAATTAAGTAAATACATATGTGGGTTTAAATTTATGGTTTTAAAATATGTAACTATTTGAATATAGATCTGTTAATATCACAGTCTCCATGACTTGATACATAACATAATTCATGCTGGGAACACATTCTGCAGAAGAAGGAATATTCAGATGTTATGCTTTGGAGTTATAGTCACTTATAGACAATATGAATATAGATATGATAGGTATCACAGTCTTCATGACTTGAATCCAGGTCATGTGGTTTCGGTAAGAACAAGGAAGATTTTATAATAAACTATCTGAATTCACATCCTGCGTCTAATGAAATTCCACTGGATCCATTGTTCATTTACAGCTCACACCAGTGTTGCCCATATGGTCTAATATGCCTGTGTTCTTGATTTGCCTAAGACACTGTTAGGAAGGTGTGCAACACAGCATGACATGATGTGCTGCATGTTGTCATGGATGCTTGATGTCAGCCTGTGCTCAGTGAATTTCTTGTGGTCGATAATTTTACATCTGACATGTCAACATAAGCAGCTTCAGTAAAGTATTTTCAAATAAACTTTGGTAGAGTCATGCCAAAGTGATATGATTGTGATCACTTTAAAATTTGATATTATGATGTATAGCTTTCTCTTTCTGTCATATACCAGCCCATTTTATGCTGAAATGGCGGCCCAGTGTATTGGACTCCAGCCAGTGGCATAGAGAGTGGTGGAAGGTTAGCTTTATCTCTAAATGTGAGAGGCTGTTATTATAAATTAAACCCCATAATGGAGCAATCTCAGTATCACAGCAAGGCTGTCCCAATGAATATGCTGCATTCCATCTTTCTTAAATGTTATTAGAGATGCATAATCTGTTTCTATGATTTCCTCCAAAAATCTTTAATTAATTGGTTTTAAGGTTTTGACAAATTTTTGGTCACAATGTTTTGTGCAGGCAAGTCCACTATAATTAGATTACTCTACAGGTTTTTTGACTCTGATTCTGGATCGGTAAGAATCTTCTGATTCTCTTTTTGTTGTATTGATCTTCAATGATTACATGTTAAATTATAATGTACATCATGCCAATTTTTTAAAATATCTATAAAGGTTAGTTTTAAAAATTTTATAATGGTCATGACACTGTTAATTTTCTGATCATTATAATGGTAAGTTCTTGTTGATTTGTCCTTATGTAGTAGTGTGTTTCAAGGACGAGATAACCAGATGTCACTTTATCATAATTTAGCTGTCTAGTAATGCTATTGTTTTGTCCATTTTCATTAAATTGTTCACCATAAATATTTATTTTGGAGTGAGAATGAGAAAAATGATGAGTGGCCCCAATTAAAATGAAAGCTTTATTCTGAAGGGTGGTGACTACCACATATATGAGCCACTTCAGGATGAATCCTGATTGATGTGAAACTATCTAACGATGAGAGTGGTTAGCCTTTTAAAATAAAAGCTAGGATATAGGCTTTATTCTGAAGGGTGATGACTACCACATACATGAGACATTGCAGGATGAATCCTGATTGATGTGGGACTATCTAACAATGAGAGTAGTTAGCCTCATGATTCGCCTTACTGGTCCATACCAACATATCGATCGATTGTCGGTATGGTACATACTGAATCATACCGATGTAATAACACATGGTACAGTGGTGCATATTGACAACCATCGATATGTATTGTCCATACCAGTCTCCTATCGAACCGGTACATACCGCTCGTATCGAGCGGTATGCCTCGGTATGATAAACCTTGGTTAGCCTCTTAAAATAAAAGCTAGGATATAGGTGGCCCAAGTGTCAATCCCCTTTGCTAGCTCCACCCCACCTTTCGACCTAGTTGATATGGGGTTAGCCTCTTATAAGCTAGGGTCCAATAGTCCCAAACGTAGGTCAGTGCTGATCCACTTTGCTAGTCAGCCCCACCTTTTAGTTTTCAGACCTATTTACATGACAACTAAAGCCTAATCATTGCACAAATTGACAATTTTTAGGTACAGTTTTAGAAGCACGAATCAAAGTTTTGATTGTACTGGTTGGCATGAACTAAGGACTGCAATTTTGTACAGGAGTACTGTACCAGTCCTTGACCAGATCAGTATTTACTGATGTGTACCAACACATGATACACTAGAATGTACTGACAAGTCGAAGAGAAAGAAGGAAGAAGACGTGGCAGTGAAAGAAGAGGAGGAAGAGGGAGGAGGAAGTAGGCAGAGGAAGGCAGAAAAAGAGGCGGTGGAGGAAGAGTAAGAGGAAGGAAGAAGAGGAGGTGGAGGACTGAGAAAGAGGAAGGAAGAGGAGATAGCAGAGGAAGAGGAAGGACGAAGAGGACAAGGTGGAGGGAGAGGAGGAAGCATACCCGATGTCACGATAGGGCACGAAGGTAGGCCGATGACAGCAATAAGAGTAAAGATATGCAGTGGCGGACGATGGTGATAAGGGGGGAGGTAAGCTACGGCAGACAACAGCGAGAAGAGGGCTCGCAATCGCGAACCCTATTGGACCAGATTGTTTGAAACAAGGGCAGTCCTTGAACCAATTCACAGTCGGACCGGTATGTAGCGCTAGTATGTACCAATCTGGGTGAAAAGGAGTTTCATGGTATGGACCAAGGTTTTTAATTTCGAATGATACCTGCCCGTACCAGGCGGCACGTACCAGTCTGTCAGCAGATCGGTACACGGACCGCTCGCTACCGGGCGGTATCGTCCTAAATCGGGCGGTGACCGAGGGAGAAGAAAGAAGAGGGAAAAGGGGAAGAAACAAAAGGGAGAAGAAGAGGAGAACCTGGAGATCGGTGCCACTCTCCCTCCTCGTTTGTCGGCGACTTCTCATCCACGCAGGGAGAAGAGAGGCGACGCCTCGACGAAAACGGTTTTTTATACTTATATATATAAAGGCGACATCGCCTCATTTTTTCGCAGATTTTATATATATATATATATATATATATATATATATATATATATATATACCGAGTGGTATACCGAAATATATCGCTCGGTATACAGTGTCGTACCATACCGAAAGAATCTCAAAACTCCTGTACAGTACAAAATTTCAATCCTTGGTATGTACTATTAAAATATAGTTTGATCGTGGACCAATATCGAACCATATAGGTTGGTAACTGTCAGTTTTCAAATTATTAGTATTTTCGTGGATTACATGTGGTATGGTTGGTTTATTGCTCAGAATTTCACTAACATACTGGTCTGACCTTTTTGCCAAAATCAGGTGCTGCAACGAGGTTTAAATCCTTGTCCAGAAGCTCCTTCTTGGGCTCTGATACTACATATGGCATAGTGGTTCCAAATCTATTCTTAATGGATAGACATTCATATATATAATTTTATAAGCACCACTTCGTGACAAGCCCAACCAAACCCTAACCTCCTGCGTTCCCACGTTTTGGCTTACATTCTGCTCATGTGGGAACCAAAATCTATTTCTGCTGCAAGCTGACACTCCTCTTATCTTGTCTATGTCTCTTTGTACATGTATGTATTTCTGTTTTTCTTTCCCCTTTCTTTCGTAGCCATCTGAACCCTCGTACCATGTTGCTGGCATCTATTTTTGCGTCCTTGCGTAGAACTAAGGTTTGCAATACCACCTAGGATGATATGATATAGGTCTGGTGCCTGCAGTTTTTTTTTCAAAATTTTTCGGATTATTTTGAAACTTGCCACATGTTGATAATACTGGGTGTTGGTACATTGGTATGGATGAGTACCAATCCGAACCTTGACCGGTTTAAAACCAGTACAAGAAATTCCGAACCTTGCACAGAACCGCTACGACCCTATATGTTTTTGGTCATTATATATATATATATATATATATATATATATATATATATATATATATATATATATATAT